AGACAGACCTCCTCCACTTGCCTCCCTGAAGCATTTCGTTCCTGGTAGCCCCACATGGGCGACTGGGCGTTAAATTCACCAGCAATTATCGTTCACCTGAACATCGTTTCCTCCCGAGTGGGGATTGTAATTGCATTGCGTGGTGTGTTGTAAACGTTCGTCACTGTGAACGTCTTGCCCAGCTTTGCCACATTCACTGTTAGAGTGTCAGTGTTTGAATAGTTTCGTCTCTCTATGACCTCCACCGTGAGGTCATTTTGCACCACTGTAAGGCATTTGCCGCACGTGCAGTGGTATAGCGAGTAACCTGAAATGGCGAGCGACTTCCCGCGACGCAGCGTCTCCTGAAATAATGATACATCCATTTCGCGTTCGTGGAGTAGTTTGGTTATCTCGTGCAGCTTTTGCCTTATTCCACACACATTCAGTTGTAACACGACTAGGGTTTGTTCCAGATGACCCCTTGCAGCCGTTCGTTCGCGACCAGTTAGTTTTTGGCCTTGCGCGCACCTGTCGCGCGTCATACGCACAAGAGGGGCAGTCTTCTCCTTGAGGAAGTCCGCGATTAGGGGATGCTGTCCAGGCATCGCAACAATCGCTCTACTCTGTCCCACCTTGCCTCCCAGCAGTGGGTGTCGAGGGCTTTTTAAGGTTGCCGTGACCTGCTTTAAAGATAAATTTGTAGTACCCATAGAGTCGGGGTTTTAGCAGAAATCTTCTTCCCATTGAGGCAGAGGCTTTGCGTCACCTCCCCCCTTGCTCAGTGGGTCTTTCGGTCGGGACGAGCCATGGGGGCTATAGGTTTTGGTTTCGGGCGCCAGCTCGCCTTATACGTCTTCCACCTTCCACGCCACGTAGAGGCAACCCATCTGTGTGGAAGCCCAGTATATACTAAACTGATCGGTTTGTATGCAGTAAACTGATAGCCCTGTATGTACTAAACTGATAGTTTTGTATGTGTTAAACTGAAAGCCCTGTATGTACTAAACTCATAGCCCAGTATTTACTAAACTGATAGAATTTTATCTACTAACCTAATAGCTCTTTATGTACAGAGCTGATTGCCTTGTACGTACAAACCTTATAGCCCTGTATATACTAAACTGATAGCTTCGTTTTACCAAAACAAATACCTCAAATAGTGATAACATTGTTGCGTATACATTGTATGTGTCATTTTATATGCCTGGGGTATTTTAGGGGTGGGGGGGGGGAAGTTGTGAAATTTTCAAATTTAAATGATATATCTTGTATAGAGAATATTCTACATTTATTTTGTTGTATTTTTAATAAATCTTATGTAACTCAAAATATACCAAAAACTTGGAAAAATTCGGAAATCGTGCCAATTCCAAAGAAAAATATGGTAATTTTTTTAACAATGTCTTGTCACACTTACCTCCATTGTAGTGAAATGTTTTAAGAAATTATTTGATGCAAATTTTAAGTGTATAGCATAAACTTGATCCCCATCAATTCGCTTATAAACCTACAAGAACCTGGAAGGATGCTATCTTCCTATTGTTGGAGCGACTTTACCATCACCTAGACAGCCCTAAAAAATATGCCGGAGTACTATTCTTAGACTTCTTATCAGCATTAAATATTATACAAACACTCCTTACGATAAAGAAACTTTCCTCGTTAGGTATACATTTAAGTATGTAGGCTTGGATACTGAACTTTTTAACAAATGGCCCACAATATGTGAAGGTAAGTGACCAATTATCTCTAACCAGAGAAATAAGCTCCGGGGCTGCACCCCCCCCCCTTTTCCCCGTACTGAATACATTATATACCAATGACATTCAGAGCTCAAGGGACATCGTTCCAATCATAAAATTTGCTGATGATACCAACATCGATTGCTCAATGTCTGAGGGAGAAGACTTATACCGCAACTTATTTACAAGTGTTTTTTTTTAAATTGGGGCGACGAAAATTTTCTCCAGCTCAATGTCTCAAAAACAAAGGAAATGGTTGTTGATTTCAGGAGGGGAAAATACCAGATTACAGATCTCAAAATCAATTTTAATGTCAAAATGTTGAGAAAGTAGAGACATATAAGTACTTAGGTGTCACCATTAATAATAAGCTAACATGGCATGAGCACTCCCAAATGCTGTAAAGGAAATTTAATCAAAGACTGTTCTATTTTTAAAAAAAAACTGTGCAATTTCGGCGTAAACAAACAAGTCATTAACTTATTTTACCTTGCAAAAATTCGAAGACTACTTAATTTCAGTATTACTTGCTGGTGTGGGAATTCATCTTCTGATATTAAACACCACATAAACCGACTAATCAAGAAAGCTAGGAACATAAACCAAACATCCTTCCCTTGAAGAACTGTTTGAAGAAAGATGTTTTTTGTAAAACTAAACATATTTTGGTTGATACATCCCACCATCTTCATCACAGATACTTAGGATCGGCCCGTTTTGGACGATATCCTTCTCTCAGGGCGAGGACTGAATGATATACAAAAAAAAAATTTCCCCAAACTGTACGAATTTACCAGCGTGCTCTCCCTAAAGTTATGAATCTTAAAGATAACTAATAATTACCTGATATGGCTTAGAAATTTCACTGAATGGCTGTTTTTTCACCAGTGAAATAATTTAATTTAGATGTCTTGTGTTCAAATTTTGTTATTTATGTGTGAAAATGTACAATGCAATCATAAAACATTTCCATCTGTTTTCATCATTAAAATAATATCATCTTATCTTATCTTAAAATCTTCAAGGGTATCAAATAATAATAAAAAAGATTATTTAAAAATCACGCTTCATCCCCAAAGGCTCTAAACGCGATACATACCACATTGAAGAACAAATTTCAACATTACAAAACTGCATGCAAAAATACCCATTCTAAGACTTAGTCTTTCATACCATGCAACCATAAACAAAACAGACCAATATACATCTAAAAGATAATAGTTAGATAGACAACATCACCCCAGCAGGTTTTTGTGAAATAGATAAGTCTTCAAATCAGTTTTGAAAGACTCCAATGTCTGGCTGTTTCTGAGAGCTATAGGAAGAGTGTTCCACATTGTTGGGCCAGCAAATGCGAAAGTGGGTCCCTCGTAAGTCTCAAGGTGAACACGTGGTATCGAGAGTTTGCCACTATCAGATGAGCGGAGTTGTCTAGTCAGTACATAAGGCGTCACGAGCGCTTTGAGATAGGACGGTGCCAGGTCACGTAAGCAGCGGTAGCAGAGAGTTGCAAATTTGTACTCTATGCGCGCGCGGACCGGTAGCCAGTGCAGCTCTCTCAGAAATGTTTTAGCATGTTCGGATTTGCGTTTTCGAAAAACAATGCGAGCAGCATTATTCTGTGCTTTTTTAAATTTTATCCAGGAGCGTAGCTGGAAGACCCACCATAAGAGCATTGCAATAGTCCATGCGTGATAGCACGAATAATCCAAGTAAAGCAATTCTCTTGGGATAAGTTGAAGTATATAATAAATTCATGTCTATAAATTTAAAGCCCAAGCTCCACCACATTATAATTAGATTATATGCATGGCCATAGGACGCTAAGTGGGAAAGTGGTCTAAACAGAGCAAATCCCAAGGCCATAAGACGCTAAGTGGCCGAGTGGACTAAACAGGTCAATCTCAAGGCCATAGGACGCTAAGTGGCCGGGTGGACTAAACAGAGTCAATCTCAAGGCCATAGGACGCTAAGTGGCCGAGTGGACTAAACAGAGTCAATCTCAAGGCCATAGGACGCTAAGTGGGCAAGTGGACTAAACAGAGTCAATCTCAAGGCCATAGGACGCTAAGTGGCCGAGTGGACTAAACAGAGCCAATCTCAAGGCCATAGGACGCACAGTGGCCGAGTGGACTAAACAGAGCCAATCTCAAGGCCATAGGACGCTAAGTGGCCGAGTGGACTAAACAGAGCCAATCTCAAGGCCATAGGACGCTAAGTGGCCGAGTGGACTAAACAGAGTCAATCTCAAGGCCATAGGACGCTAAGTGGCCGAGTGGACTAAACAGAGTCAATCTAAAGGCCATAGGACGCTAAGTGGCCGAGTGGACTAAACAGAGTCAATCTCAAGGCCATAGGACGCTAAGTGGCCGAGTGGACTAAACAGAGTCAATCTCAAGGCCATAGGACGCTAAGTGGGCGAGTGGACTAAACAGAGTCAATCTCAAGGCCATAGGACGCTAAGTGGCCGAGTGGACTAAACAGAGCCAATCTCAAGGCCATAGGACGCTAAGTGGCCGAGTGGTCTAAACAGAGTCAATCTCAAGGCCATAGGACGCTAAGTGGCCGAGTGGACTAAACAGAGCCAATCCAAAATTCGTGGTCTGAAATTGAATCGCCATTAAAAAGATCACCAGCTCGCCGATGGATGGGACTCGTTATCCTGGGAAGGCAACTCATGGGACTCGTTATCCTGGGAAGGCAACTCATGGGACTCGTTATCCTGGGAAGGCAACTCATGGGACTCGTTATCCTGGGAAGGCAACTCATGGGACTCGTTATCCTGGGAAGGCAACTCATGGGACTCGTTATCCTGGGAAGGCAACTCATGGGACTCGTTATCCTGGGAAGGCAACTCATTGGACTCGTTATCCTGGGAAGGCAACTCATGGGACTCGTTATCCTGGGAAGGCAACTCATCTGAGAGAAGGAAACTGTGAATTCAAACCCGGAGATAGAGTTCCGTAGGGGGATAAAAGTTCAACAATGAACAATTGCGATAACCCTTGCGACACTACTGTTACCAAGCTGTATCATCGTCATATGATGTTCCCTTGGGTCATCCAGATGCGTGGAAAGAAGCGATTTGCTGTGTAGGGAATTAGCTTACACTCAGAATAATCCAAGGTCTTGTGATTTCGTCTTGTGAAGTCTACACCAGCGTCCCATTGTGACGGATGGATGCCAGATAAAAATATACATGACATAGCCAGCAAAGGAACCTCTCACTAAGGGTGTATTAACTACTGAATATTTTGCTATCTTCAAGAACCAATGTGTTAGACATTTTGTTTGCCATTGAATGCGCATGAAAAAAATATTTAAAAGAATTTTTTTTTTACATTTAAACTATGTGTATATGTTGATGGGTTTGTTTATAATATGATGACTAATATGATTAAATATGTCTATGTGCAGGGAAAATAAAAGAATAAAATAAAGGAAAATAACTATTTTATTTTAAAATTGATATTTGTTACAAAAGTACATCCCTTTGCATTAAACAGGACACTGTGATGCAAGTTTAGTAAAAAATTCCCTTATGTCTATGCTATTACATTCACCGGAAATGGACAAACTCGGTAAAGACAAAATCCAATCGCCCAAACTGGCCTCTAAACAAGTACAAATCAACGTCTTGTCCTCACCAAACTCTAGTTTTGCCAGCTGCCGGAGACTGGACACTGCCAGGGGCATTCTCGTTAGCTTGGTCCCAATTAAATGTAAGTACTTTAAATTCGGCGTGCTAACAAAGGCATCAGAAGCTATTCTCGTGATTGGATTGTTGTTGAGGGTAACATCTTCGAGTTTACTGGCGACGTGAAAACTATCTGAGTAAATTTCCTCGATATAATTACCGTTCAAATCTAACGTCGTGACTTCATGGGGCAAATTTTCGATGACAGTAATTTGATTTACATACAGATAAAGCTCGGTAAGCGATTTTAAGTAAAAAATCTCTTTAGGTATGCGCGTTAGGTTACCATAAGATAGCTCCAAAGAGGTAAGTGTTGCTGTCGTGTTTACGAAAGCATTTTCGGGAATGTCCGTAAACTTCGTTGTTGAGAATCTCAATTCGGTTAGAGCTTTAAAATACGTGAACCAACTTGGCCACGTAACGAGTCCCACATTGGTTGTTCCTAAGTAGGTCAAAGTCAGTCCTAGTTTTTGAATGACAGGGATGTTCCAGTCTGTCATTTGAATGGCATTGAGCTCCAAGCTGCGCAAAGCGTTGAGTTTTAAAAAGGCGTCTGGGATTTTCCCAGATAATGCACTGTTGAAGGCCAGGTAGCTCAAAGTTCCTGCAACCTTGTTGAATGCGCCATCTGAGATGTGGTAAATTATAGTTTCATCAAATGTTAACTGCGTCAGTCCACTGGGTATACTGTTATCTGTTAGACTCGAGATTACAGATCCCTATAAAAAAAGGACGTTTTCATTTTTCTAAAATTTTATTAAACTTACATTCAAACGTCATCATTTTTTTAACGTTAGGTCAATAGTTTATGTCCTGTTATGGGTCCTATATATCTGTAGGTCAATACTTTATGTCCTATTCTTGGTCTTATGGATTAATAGTTCATGTCCAATTTTGGGCCCTGCAAATCAATAGGTAAATAGTTTATTTTCCATTATGAGTCATATATATTAATAGGTCACTACTCTGAGGCCTACAGATCAATAGGTCACTAGTTTATGTTCTATTCTGATGCATACAGATAAATAGTTTATTAGTTTATGCCATGATCTAAGTCTTACAAATCAACAGGTCAATAATTTATGCCTTATTCTTAGTTCTACACATCAACAGATTATAAGTTTATGTCATGTTTTAAGTCTTACTATTTTTAGTACAATATCGTTATATTGACAATTTAAACGTTATTTTAATAATGAATACTTCAGCACGTATTTTTCGCGAATAAATAAATCTGACCACATCACCCCAGTTCTTAGAGATCTCCATTGGCTTCCTGTAAGTGAGCGCATTGCCTACACAATTCTGTTCCCAGCGTACAGCTGTATAGATGGCTCAGCACCAGAATACCTTAAGGAATTGATTTCTAAACACGTATCCTTAAAGAACCTGTGGTCTTCAACACAGTCCTTTCTGAGAGTTCCCAGTGTGGATAGACACAGAAAAAAAGCCGTACGGAGTGCGCTCATTTGAAGCGATAGCACCAACATGATTGAATAGTTTGCCCCAATCCTTGAGGCACATTGACAATAAAAAAAAATCTTTTAAGAAACATTTAATTTGTATTGTTTAAATACCTTTAAGAACATCAGAGCACTGTGACCTTGCTATAGTAGCATGGATACAAGCGTTATAGAAATATTATTCAATTCCATATGTTCCCAGAAATGATTTAAACATCTTTGATAATTAACAGTCGTGGAGCTCATCTCAAATACTACTTAAGTACTAGATGAAGTACTACTTAAGTACTTGATGAATGACATTATTAGTTTTCACATATCTATATATTACATTTGTCTTTTTTGAATCTGCATAACATTTGTTGTTAGTTCAATTGAGAAACATATTAATAACATTACACTGCTTAGGACTTACAGAAAATGCCAGTTCCGTCAGATGAAAACCACAAGAGTCAAAGTCGGGGATGGTTGTATAGTTGCCTCCTTCACACAAGGCTTCCGGGTCGAGGGCATGACATTCCTGTTGAAAAATATGACTGTAGTTCTCACATCTCCGTAGCTCACACACTTTCGTGTCTACATTAAATGTTATTGTCATTCATTTAACAACTATGGTATGTATTAGTAAATTAAATGGCGTTGTCATTCATATAATAACTATGACATATTACAATCCATTTGGTTTTCTAATTGTGTATGTACTGAATAGTTTCAGGTAATCAACAGGACATCATCAGGACATCAAAAAGTAGATAACAGGACATTTAACAGGACACTTAACAGGGCATTAAACAGGACATGAAATAGGACCTTAAAAATAAAGGTAAACATGACATTAAAGAGGATCTTAAACGGGACAAGGAACAGGACATCAAACAAGATATGACTCAGGATATAATCAGGAGATTAGCCATCGAATCATTAAGTCATTAAATAGGCTTTTAAACAGGGCATTTATTTGAGCATCCAACTAGGAGCGGGAAAATATTGGGCACATTGAAATAATCTAACAAACAAAACTGTATACATCCCATATGTATATATTGTAACTAAAATATGTTGGAACATTCAATAGACCTGTAAACATCAACAACTAATTTATTGAGACTTGTAAACATACAACAGCAACTACTGATTTATTGAGACTTGTAATATATTCAGACAGAAACTACTTCATTTACTTTAGGTGCAGGGCCAGTGGGTCACAGTTGTATCCGTCAATCATTGCAAACATTGACTACTTCACTTATTTTAGGTAAAATTCCGAGTGTCTCACTAGTGAATCCATTGATAATTACAAACAGAAACTAGTTCACTTACTTCAGGTAAACATGACAGTGTGTCACATTTGTATCCGTCGATCATTGCAAACAGAAAAGCTGTCATCAAGATCAAAAATTTGGTACGGAATATCATTCTGTTATTACTTTGATTTTGGAAGCTTTTATGATCTAGTAGTAGATAGAATTAAAGAAAGTATACCAGCTTAACAGGCATAATGGAGTTTTATTCATAAAATGAATGGATTCATTTCTTATCTGATAATGAAATGTTTGTGTAAAAAAATTAATTAAAAAAAACAGCTGGACTACTTTTCGGGATAGGAAATGGGTAAAACAAAGTAAGGTGAAACATGAAGAAAAAGGAACGCAACAAAACAACGAAGGTTTCAGCAGAAAGCGTTCGTCATCGAGCAAACAGTAAAAAAAAAAACAGAACTCATTTTTAAAAAATAGCACTTAGATGAAAAGTATTATCCAAGAGAGCAGCTAAAGAATGGTGACAAAGAAAAAAAATGGTGAGAGAATAAGTAGGAAAAATGAGACATTAGTCCACTGCGATTGGACGTGACGTGGAGGGGCGGGGCTAGGCTCAAGCTGTGATTAAAAACATGACTTTCCTGCAATGTGGTGTCAAGGGTCGAAAGGTCAGGATAATCTTTTTTCCAAAATCACCCGGCTGGGTGTGTGTATGCTTGTCACGATGACACTAGGGTTAAAGTCCACCGTGACCTTGTGGTTGCCTCTATTGAAGTTTTAGAGACCTGACACTGTTTATCTTGTGTAATATTACAGAGGTGTACACGTGTCAGAGAGTCGGCGTCCTGTCTCCCCGCCGTATAAAATCTGGCAGAGGGTGCAAATAATAGCGTGGACATTACTGCAGCTAGTACAAAAGATACCGTAGTGTATATGAAAATTGCCTTTAGGGAAGAGTATGTGTTGAGTCTGGACAATGAAATGGCTAGTGTTGTAACGGCTGCATCCTTATGGCTTCCTCCCAAAGTGGGAAGGGAAAACGTTGATGCAACTGCGTAGAGTGGGGTCTCTGAGATTTTTATTACGTCTAAAAACGATGCCATGAAGTAAAAATGTCACGTGTTTCAGTGTCGGCCAGGAGTATGGCTTGGTTTTAAAGACAAACACGTTCGGCTATCGCTTGAGAGGATGATAAGTGATAATAAGTTTGGTCTTGACCCGAAGGCATCAGCATAGGTAATATTCTTAACCCTTAGTAGGGCTGATGAAAGTAAGACCTACATCATAAATAGGCGACATTACGATTTTTGCGTGATTATGAAACTTGATTATATTACAATATCTTATTACTTGATTATATTACTTGACTATATTACTTTATTACATTTTTTGTTTACATTTTTCGATTTCATTTATTATTTTAATTACTTGATTATATTACTTGATTTTATTTCTTGATTAAATTATTTTTTTTAAATTGATTGCATTATTATATTTTATTACGTGATTATGAAACTTGATTATATTAACTCATTTTATTTCTTGATAACATTACTTGATAACAATAATTTATCGTATTATATTAATAGAAAACATTACTAGATTAGATTGCTGAATTATATTACTTGATTACATCACGTAATTTATTGTATTATTTGATCATATTGCCCGATTTGTCTGAAATGTCAAATCATCATAAACCTGTACAGGCCAGTATTTTTTTCGGAAAAATTTAATTCTCCCACATATTGGAAAGGTTTTTGTCTTTTACAAAACGAAGTTGCTATTCGCACCCGGGTACAAGAAGTGAGAGGTTGGGATTAAAAAAAACTATTAAAAATATAATTGTTGGGTTTGTAAGACAAAATGAGGTATCAAATGAAAGATAACTAAATCGACTGTATGTTTGTAAACTTACTGCTTCAGTTTAACTAAAAAACGGCCACAAATGACATCCGAATAGCATTTAATCAAAATGAACCCGGACACGCATCGCTGCCATACGCACTCGGGTACCATTAGACTTATGTCCTAAGTACATCGTGGTCTGACCTACATTCATCCCTCTCTGCTCTCCATACATTCCTTTCTGATCTACATTATATCACTTTCTGCTATGCAAACATCACTGTCTGACCTGTACACTTCCCTGTCTAACCTACATACATCTCTGTCTTTCCTGCACACATCCCTGTCTTTCATGCATAAACTACTATCTGACCTGCATACAATCATGTGTCCTGTATACAACCGTTTCTTACCTGCATACATCCTTTTCTGTACTCAATAAATCCCTGTCTCTCCTGCTTACATCACTGTCAGGCCTGCATACATCACTGTCTGTCCTGTATACTTCCCCGTTTTGACCTGCATAGATCACTGTCTGACCTGTATACACCACTGTCTATTCTGCATACATCTCTTTCTGAACTCCATACATCACTTTCTGACCTGCATACATCCCTGTCTGTACTGCATACATCACTGTCTAGCTTGCATACATCCCTCTATGTCAGCGTACATCCCTGTCTGTCCTGCAACATCCTTGTCTGTCCTGCAAACACCATTGTATGTCCTGCATACATCACTGTCTGTCCTCCATACATCACTCTCTTACCTGAACACATCACTGTCTGATTCCAAAAATCGCTTCTGACCTGGATACCTAAGTGTCTGACCCGCATACTTCCCTGTTTGACCTGCATACATCTCTGTCTGTCATGCAGACATCCCTGCCCGTCCTGCATAAATACCTATCTATACTGCATATAGCCATGTCTGTCATGCATACATCCATGTCTGTCAACCATGTATCCCTGTCTGTCCTGCATACATCCCTCCCTATACTGCATATATCCCTGCCTCGCCTGCATACATCCCTGTCTTTCCTGCATACATGTCTGTATGCCTTGCATATATCCCTGTATGTCTTGCATACATCCCTGCATGTCCTTCATAAATTCATGTCTAACATGCATACATCCCTAATAATCGTATAATTATTCGTTATAAGGATTATTTTATTTTACTTGACCTCTTACAACTGAAATGTTTGGCTTCATACAACTAGTGGTCTAACAGAAATGTGTAACGAATGATTTTAACGCACTAAACTTACCTGAGTAATGACATGCTTTTTTAGTTTTCACAGTATTGAAGTAATTGGTTACATTCTTTTTTTTTTTAAGCTTTGAAATAATTGTAAACAAATCTAATGTGTACGTTCACATAGAACAATTTAGGTTTTATTGTTTGAAATTAATCGAAATGATAAGCTATCGCCAGATGGTGTTCCTACAGATAAGAGTGTATCTAAGGGTCATCTTTTATATATCTAATGTTTGACAACTCGCAAAAAGACTGACACATTTTTACAACTATTTTATGGTAGAAAATTAAGCATAATGCAATTATTTTTTTTCAATTACACAAAGTATTGTATTGATGTAATTTCTTTAGAAAATGTTTTGTTATTTGTTTATATTTCATGGTGATATTTGTATGTGTTAATATTTCATGATGACAATTTTATGTGCTTATATTTCATGAGGACATTTTGTATGTGTTTATATTTCTTGATGATATTTTTATTTGTTTATAGTTCATTGAGACATTTTTATTTGTTTATATTTCATGATGATGTTTCTATATACTTATGCAAGAATTACTTTTGTTCCATAAAGTTATTATAGTAAAAAAAAAAAAAAATTGAAAATATCAGTTATCTCCTAATTAAATTACAGCATCCATTTCGCAGGCTTATTTGGACAAGGGTGTTTTCTAATCAAATGTCACATTCTGATAACCAAACACTGCCATGGAAAGCTGCTAGTGCTAAGGAAAAATAAATTATTACTTTACAAGTCTGCAAAGTGATGCATTATCGATGCATTTGATGAACTTATTTGTGCTTGAGGCCCACTACGTAGTATTTTAAATACATAATGTCCTTTTTTCAAAAATTGTGGGGCCTATATAAATATACTGTGCCTCTTGAGTGGCGCAGTGAATTAAGCGAATCGCAATGTCTATAAAACAGGCTCATAAGTAGACCAGTGTATTGACCACACTCTACAATATAGAGAAGAGTTGCTCTTGGGTGGTCCATTGTATTTACCACACTCTACAATGTACAGAAGAGTTGCTATTGGGTGGTCCATTGTATTTACCACACTCTACAATATACAGAAGAGTTGCTCTTGGGTGGTCCATTGTATTTACCACACTCTACAATGTACAGAAGAGTTGCTCTTGGGTGGTCCATTGTATTTACCACACTCTACAATGTACAGAAGAGTTGCTCTTGGGTGGTCCATTGTATTTACCACACTCTACAATGTACAGAAGAGTTGCTCTTGGGGGTCCATTGTATTTACCACACCCTACAATATACAGAAGAGTTGCTCTTGGGTGGTCCATTGCATTTACCACACTCTACAATGTACAGAAGAGTTGCTCTTGGGTGGTGGTCCATTGTATTTACCACACTCTACAATGTACAGAAGAGTTGCTCCTGGGGGTCCATTGTATTTACCACACCCTACAATATACAGAAGAGTTGCTCTTGGGTGGTCCATTGTATTTACCACACCCTACAATATACAGAAGAGTTGCTCTTGGGGGTCCATTGTATTGACCTCACAGTACAATGTACATAAAGGTGGCTATTGAGTGGCTCAGTGTGTTAACCACACCATGCAGTGTCTATAAGAATGGCTCTTGAGTGGCTAAATTTATTAAGAACATCGCATGACGTCTGTAAGAGGGACTTTCGTACGATCAAGAGCATTAGCCACTCTGCATAGGAGTCAGATAAATGATGGCAGAAACCATCTGCGAATAAAAGCGTTTCCAAAATTAGATGGCAGAGAATTTTTTAAACAAATGACTGACTCTAGGGTGAAACAGATGTCTGAATGTTCGATGAAACAGATGACTAATGCTTGGATAAAACAGATGACTGAGTCTTGAATAAAACAGATGGCTGAGTCTTGGATGAAAAAGATGACTGAGTCTTGGATAAAACAGAAGACATGCTTGATTAAAACAGAAGTCTTGGATAAAACAGATGACTGATGCTTGGATGAAACAGATGCCTTGGATAAAACAGAAGACTGATGCTTGGATAAATCAGATGCCTTGAATAAAACAGAAGACTGATGCTTGGATAAACCAGATGCCTTGAATAAAACAGAAGACTGATGCTTGGATAAACCAGATGCCTTGAATAAAACAGAAGACTGATGCTTGGATAAACCAGATGCCTTGAATAAAACAGAAGACTGATGCTGGGATAAACCAGATGCCTTGAATAAAACAGAAGACTGATGCTGGGATAAACCAGATGCCTTGAATAAAACAGAAGACTGATGCTTGGATAAACCAGATGCCTTGAATAAAACAGAAGACTGATGCTTGGATAAACCAGATGCCTTGGATAAAACAGATAACCGAGGCTGGGATAAAACAGTTGACTGAGTCTTGGATAAAAAAAATGAATTATGCTTTGATAAAACAGATGACTGGAGCTTGGTTAAACAGATGACTGAGTCTCTGATAAAACAAATGACTGTGTCTCTGATAAAACAGATGACTGGGTCTCTGCTAAAACAGATGACTGGGTCTCTGATAGAACAGATGACTGGGTCTCTGAAAACAGTTGACTGGGTCTCTGATAAAACAGATGACTGGGTCTAAGATAGAACAGATGACTGGGTCTCTGATAAAACAGATGACTGGGTCTCTGATAGAACTGATGACTGGGTCTCTGATAAAACAGATGACTGGGTCTCTGATTAAACAGATGACTGGGTCTCTGATAAAACAGATGACTGGGTCTCTGATAAAACAGATGACTGGGTCTCTGATAGAACAGATGACTGGGTCTCTGATAAAACAGATGACTGGGTCTCTGATAGAACAGATGACTGGGTCTCTGATAAAACAGATGACTGGGTCTCTGATAAAACAGATGACTGGGTCTCTGATAGAACAGATGACTGGGTCTCTGATAAAACAGATGACTGGGTCTCTGATAGAACAGATGAATGGGTCACTGAAAACAGTTGACTGGGTCTCTGATAAAACAAATGACTGTGTCTCTGATAAAACAGATGAATGGGTCTCTGATAAAACAGATGACTGTGTCTCTGATAAAACAGATGACTGGGTCTCTGATAGAACAGATGACTGGGTCTCCGAAAACAGTTGACTGGGTCTCTGATAAAACAAATGACTGTGTCTGTGATAAAACAAATGACTGGATCTCTGATAAAACAGATGACTGGGTTTCTGATAAAACAGTTGACTTGATCTCTGATAAAACAGTTGACTTGATCTCTGATAAAACAGACGACTGGATCTCTGATAGAACAGTTGACTGGATCTCTGATAAAACAGTTGACTGGATCTCTGATAAAACAGTTGACTGGATCTCTGATAAAACAGATGACTGGATCTCTGATAGAACAGTTGACTGGATCTCTGATAAAACAGTTGACTGGGTCTCTGATAAAACAGTTGACTGGATCTCTGATAAAACAGTTGACTGGATCTCTGATAAAACAGTTGACTGGATCTCTGATAAAACAGATGACTGGATCTCTGATAAAACAGACGACTGGATCTCTGATAAAACAGATGACTGGGTTTCTGATAAAACAGATGACTGGATCTCTGATAAAAAAGATGACTGATGTATGGATAAAATCTGAGGTCTCTTCGTCTTTGCAGGCGTGTATTCTATGATAAATATGTTTAAATATACTGCCCCTCTCGGATACTACTTTTCAGCTAAGTGCTATATTTTAATTTAATTCTGTTTTTTCTGTTGCGTGTTCGCTGACGAAGACTTTGTTGCGTCCCTTTTTCAGCTATTAACATTTCCTTTTTTATATATTTATAAAAACTTTTTCGGAGGTGCTATCATAATGTAGTAACCACTTGTAAAGAACATATCTAGATTTGACCTGGATAGTATGATAATATTCTCACTTTTGCTCCAGTGTTACACGGGCACGTGTCATCTTTTGCGCCATGAGTCCATCTGTTCCTGTGGCGCTACACCCAATGTAGGGCTTTAGCCTGCCTCACCACTTCATTCAACTCAGACCATCTATCCAACCCTGGGGCGCTACAGCCCATGTAGGGCTTGTGCCTGCCTCACCACTTCCTCCCACTCAGACCATCCATCCATCCATATGGCGCTACAGCCAATTTGGGCTTTGGCCTGCCTCACCACTTCTTTCTACTCAGACCATATCCATCCCAAGGCGCTACAGCCCATGTAGGGCTTTGGCCTGCCTCAACACTTTCTTTCACTGATGCTTATCTTTTCCATGCTTGATTATGTTTATAAAATGTACAGCAATGATTTACAATGATATTGAATTGTATATTTATTGGCGATGGTTAGTGATACACAATATTATATTAATATGCCATGTATACCGATGCCAGTAGCATGATTTCAGTGATCTCGATTAATGTATTTAAAGATTTATTAGCATCTTTTCGACGGAAAATCTATTAACTATCAACTATCATCTGTTATGTATTTAATTGATTTACATAAAGCATATTTCTGTTTAAGAAAACACGTCAAGGGGAAACTTTTATAATGAAAAAACAAACAAAAAAGAAGCACTAACTGAAAAAATTAATAATAACATTCTTGGGCAGAGATGTGTCTTATATTCTGAACAGAAATGTTTCTTATATTCTGGACAGAGATGAGTCTAATAATCTTGACAGAGTTGTGACTGATTAAATTGGCAGAGATGTGTCTTATATTCTGGACAGAGATGTGTCTAATAACCTGGACAGATGTGTGTCTGATATTCTGGAAAAAGATGTGTCTGATATTCTGGGCTTACATGTGTCTGATATTCTGGGCATACATGTGTCTGTTTACTTTTTTATTTCTTATAATATGGTAACTTAAAAATTAAGTTTAAATAATAATTGAAAACAAATATAATACTAATTTAAAATATTAATTTGAAGTACCAAGTTAAAATTCGAAGTTAACTTAGTGTCTTTCTGTTTTTAGTTTAAATGACGTCATTGCTTGGGGCAGTCGGTTGCGAGTTTAGAGAAGAATTCCCGGACATCGAACTGGTCGCATTCCCCGTAAATGGACATGTTGGGCAGACTGGTCAACCACGTTTGCAGACTTGATTCAGAACAAGTGCAAACCATGCCCTCATTTTCTCCGAGTTCGATGGACGTCACCTGTGTGAGCTTGGCGAAGGCGAGGGGCATCCTGGTCAATTTCGTCCCTTCAAGATAGAGGGTCTTCAGCGGCGTGTTAGCAAAGGCGTCGACTGCTATTCTCAAAATTGGGTTGTGACTAAGTGTCAAATCCCCGAGGCTAAATGCATTGCTGAACGTGTCTGAGAAAATTTCCTCGATCAATCTTCCAGTGAGATCCATTGATTTTATTTGTGGGGTCAGATTTGTGATGATGGCGATTTGATTCCAACGCAAGTACAAATAGTCAATGCCGGTTAGAGAGGATATTGCCTGGGGAACGCGAGTTAGGTTGGAGAAAGAGATCTCAAATGTAGATAACGTGTTTGCTACGTGCACCAGAGCGTCTTCTGGGACTTGTGTAATGTTACTTCTCGAGAAACGTATTTCGGTGAGAACCGTGAAGTATTGGACCCAACTTGGCCATGACGTAATGCCTACATTGGTTGACCCGAAGCTATTCAAAGTTTGACCAATTTTTTGTAGAACCGGTGTATTCCAGTCTTGGACGTTCACTTCGTTAACTTCTAGATTCTGTAATGATGTTAGTTTCATGAACGCATTTGGAATTTGGTTTGGCATGGAGTTACCAAAGGACACCATGGTCAGTGTTGTTGCGCAATCATCGAATGCATCATCTGAGATGTATTGCAAAGGAGTATCGTACAAAGCAAAATAGGTCAGTCCTACTGGTAGTGAGTTGGCCGTTAAATTGCGTATAGCAGAGCCCTGAAAAATGTGAATATCACTGAATAAAACGCATTAAAACATTTAAAAAAAAATAGATTAAAATTTTAATGCTTTAAATACTGATACATTTTTGGGACAATAAAGTAAGGGAATTCAGTAGTTTATACAAACTCAATTTGAATGATAGCTGACATGAATTATGTGCATTGAAATGTTTTAATGTTAAGCTTTGTTCAATTTTGAATTGCATACATTCAGTTACTAAAGTTTGTAGAGTCAGTAAAGTTATTATTATTGTTTTTCAATTTATATCGTTTGTATTTTTTTAAAAATACGATTGAACATGATTTAAATTTAAATACATTAATAAAAATTCTACAGAAATAAAAATATTGAAATATTGACTTTCAATCTAAAATTGAATTATACGTTTTTCTCTTTTTTTTTAAATTATCACAGCTACTCATCAACTTTACTCCAATAAATCAAGATTAGAGATTCAAACTGATGTAAGTACTTTTAGTTACCAAGGACTGTGGATCAAGTGTATCAAACGCTATAGAAATGCGGGAGCTAAGCCAAAGAAGAAAGACAACTTGGGGAAGAGAAGCAAGCAAATGGAAGGGAAGTGAGCCAATGGAAGAGGAGCAGGCCCAAGAGGAGTACGTCCAGGAAGAGAGACAAGCCAAAGGTAATTGACTATTTTGAAATCCATTAAAGTACATCATTCTTCTGTTTTCTTTTGATGTCACCGAAAGAATTGTTAATAAGAAATGTTTCTAAAGATATTTTCTCCAATTGAAACATTTAGCGACTACAAAATATTTTAAGTCTTACGCTCATGGTCACTTGAGATAGTTGGTAGACACATTAAGTCTTACACTTATTGTCAATTGTGATAGTTCGTAGCCACAAAAAGTTTTAAACTAATGGTCAATTGAGATAGTTGGCAGCCACATAAAGTCTTACACTTATGGTCAATTGCGATAGTTGGTAGTCACATAAAGTCTTACACTTATGGTCAATTGCGATAGTTGGTAGTCACATAAAGTCTTACACTTATGGTCAATTTAGATAGTTGGTAGCCACATAAAGTCTTACACTTATGATCAATTGAGATAGTTGGTAGCCACATAAAGTCTTACACTTATGGTCAATTGAGATAGTTGGCAGCCACATAAAATATTAAACTTATGGTCAATTGAGATAGTTGGTAGTCACATAAAGTCTTACACTTATGGTCAATTGAGATAGTTGGCAGCCACATAAAATATTACACTTATTGTCAATTGAGATAGTTGGTAGTCACATAAAGTCTTACACTTATGGTCAATTGCGATAGTTGGCAGCCACATAAAATATTACACTTATGGTCAATTGAGATAGTTGGTAGTCACATAAAGTCTTACACTTATGGTCAATTGCGATAGTTGGCAGCCACATAAAGTCTTACACTTATGGTCAATTGAGATAGTTGGCTGCCACATAAAGTCTTACACTTATGGTCAATTGAGATAGTTGGTAGTCACATAAAGTCTTACACTTATGGTCAATTGAGATAGTTGGTAGCCACATAAAGTCTTACACTTATGGTCAATTGAGATAGTTGGCAGCCACATAAAGTCTTACACTTATGGTCAATTGAGATAGTTGGTAGCCACATAAAGTCTTACACTTATGGTCAATTGAGATAGTTGGCAGTCACATAAAGTCTCACACTTATGATCAATTGAGATAGTTGGTAGTCACATAAAGTCTTACACTTATGATCAATTGAGATAGTTGGCAGCCACATAAAGTCTTACACTTATGGTCAATTGAGATAGTTGGCAGCCACATAAAGTCTTACACTTATGGTCAATTGAGATAGTTGGCAGTCACATAAAGTCTTACAGTTATGATCAATTGAGATAGTTGGCAGTCACATAAAGTCTTACACTTATGATCAATTGAGATAGTTGGTAGTCACATAAAGTCTTACACTTATGGTCAATTGAGATAGTTGGCAGCCACATAAAGTCTTACACTTATGGTCAATTGAGATAGTTGGCAGCCACATAAAGTCTTACACTTATGGTCAATTGAGATAGTTGGCAGTCACATAAAGCCTTACACTTATGATCAATTGAGATAGTTGGTAGTCACATAAAGTCTTACACTTATGGTCAATTGAGATAGTTGGCAGCCACATAAAGTCTTACACTTATGGTCAATTGCGATAGTTGGCAGCCACATAAAATATTACACTTATGGTCAATTGAGATAGTTGGTAGTCACATAAAGTCTTACACTTATGGTCAATTGCGATAGTTGGCAGCCACATAAAGTCTTACACTTATGGTCAATTGAGATAGTTGGCTGCCACATAAAGTCTTACACTTATGGTCAATTGAGATAATTGGTAGCCACATAAAGTCTTACACTTATGGTCAATTGAGATAGTTGGTAGTCACATAAAGTCTTACACTTATGATCAATTGAGGTAGTTGGTAGTCACATAAAGTCTTACACTTATGGTCAATTGAGATAGTTGGCAGCCACATAAAGTCTTACACTTATGGTCAATTGAGATAGTTGGCAGCCACATAAAGTCTTACACTTATGGTCAATTGAGATAGTTGGCAGTCACATAAAGTCTTACACTTATGATCAATTGAGATAGTTGGTAGTCACATAAAGTCTTACACTTATGGTCAATTGAGATAGTTGGTAGCCACATAAAGTCTTACACTTATGGTCAATTGAGATTGTTGGCAGCCACACAAAGTCTTACACTTATGGTCAATTGAGATAGTTGGTAGCCACATAAAGTCTTACACTTATGGTCAATTGAGATAGTTGGTAGTCACATAAAGTCTTACACTTATGGTCAAATGAGATAGTTGGTAGCCACATAAAGTCTTACACTTATGGTCAATTGAGATAGTTGGTAGTCCCATAAAGTCTTACACTTATGGTCAATTGAGATAGTTGGTAGCCACATTTGATAAACGTCGGCACAGTTGTGAAATTTCCGCCAGTGCAGATCGCCTCTTTACCGTTAGCAGAACATTCCTAGATGAAGAAATTAACAGTAACATAAGAAATCATATAGCTCTTGTTGCAATGGTAGATAAGAAATGATAGCTCTTGTTGCAAAGCTAGATAGACATGATATAGCTCTTGTTGCAATGGTAGATAAGAAATTATATAGCTCTTGTTGCAAAGGTAAATAGACATGATATAGCTCTTTTTGCAATGGTAGATAACAAATGATAGATCTTGTTGCAATGGTAGATAACAAATGATAGCTCTTGTTGCAATGGTAGATAAGAAATGATAGCTTTTGTTGCAAAGGTAGATAAGAAAGTAAACAAAAAATTTAGTTTTGAAGGAGATGATCCATAGAAAATAGATCTAATGTTAGTCCTACGACCAAATCATTATCCAATAATTATGTGAAATATGAATTCATCTACTAGGTAAAATTATGGAATTATGAATTCATCTACTGGGTAAAATTATGTAAAATATGATTTCATCTACTAGGTCAAATTATGTGGTCTTTATCATCTTCACGCAATGTGGTAAGGATACATAAGAGCACTCACTGACTTTAACTATGACCTTTAACAGTGTCTCCGGCTATGGGACATTTGTGGTAAGGATACATAAGAGCCCTCACAGACTTTAACTATGACCTTTATAAATGTCTCCGGCTATGGGACATTTGTGGTAAGGATACATAAGAGCCCTCACTGACTTTAACTATGACCTTTATAAGTGTCTCCGGCTATGGGACATTTGTGGTAAGGATACATAAGAGCCCTCACTGACTTTAACTATGACCTTTATAAGTGTCTCCGGCTATGGGACAGTTGCATCATCCGTATTCCCACAAGTGCAAAGTTAAAAACAAACATAAATTTTAAAAATAAAATTTAGCTTGTTTTCCAGTCGGCAATCTGCAGACCAAACATTTTGCCATTAAAGATAAATTAATTAATTTGTAGATGCAAAGAAACTATTTCTTAAAATATTTATCATAGTCTAAATTCAATAGACCTCCTTCCTTCTATCTGTTTCCTATTTACCTGAGGAATACAACCAAATCCAGGAACCTGACCAAAAGACCCATTGGCGAAGCAAATGAGAATCGGCATTAACCAGGAGAGCATAACGTTTTCTGGCATTTAAAGCAGATATCTTTAAAATAAAATGAAAGAACATTATGTTAATAATGTAAATTAAATAAATAAGAAATAAAATATCGATAAGGACAATACGATCTTTTGGTAATCGGATACTCAGCTTTTGGTAATCGGATACTCAATTGTCTTTGGAAGTTTTTGTCTGAAAGTCTAATTCTGTATACGGAAAACTGAAAGATTGATTTGATAATAGTTAGTTTATGGAAATATTGGTTCATGAAAGACTGGTTTAGATAAAAGACTGGTTTAGATGAAAGACTGGTTTAGATAAAAGACTGGTTTAGATAAAAGACTGGTTTAGATGAAAGACTGGTTTAGAGGAAAGACTGGTTTAGATGAAAGACTGGTTTAGATGAAAGACTGGTTTAGATAAAAGACTGGTTTAGATAAAAGACTGGTTTAGATGAAAGACTGGTTTAGATAAAAGACTGGTTTAGATGAAAGACTGGTTTAGATGAAAGACTGGTTTAGATAAAAGACTGGTTTAGATGAAAGACTGGTTTAGATGAAAGACTGGTTTAGATAAAAGACTGGTTTAGATAAAAGACTGGTTTAGATGAAAGACTGGTTTAGATAAAAGACTGGTTTAGATAAAAGACTGGTTTAGATAAAAGACTGGTTTAGATAAAAGACTGGTTTAGATGAAAGACTGGTTTAGATGAAAGACTGGTTTAGATGAAAGACTGGTTTAGATAAAAGACTGGTTTAGATGATAGACTGGTTTAGATGAAAGACTGGTTTAGATAAAAGACTGGTTTAGATGAAAGACTGGTTTAGATAAAAGACTGGTTTAGATGAAAGACTGGTTTAGATAAAAGACTGGTTTAGATGATAGACTGGTTTAGATGAAAGACTCGTTTAGATGAAAGATTGGTTTAAATCAGTGGTCGGCAAACCAATTGGTCAAAAGAGCCAAAAATCAGCAGATTAATTAGACATGAACAATTTGTTTAAATAAAACAATATATGTTAAGCTTTAATAATAATTTTACATGATACACAAATAAACGTTTCGGGAAATGCCTTCATGAGTATAACAACTTAACATTTAAATAAGTATAAATTAGATTTACATACTTTTTTCGTACCTAAAAAGCATAAAAGAATAAGAGTGGGCGCCACAAAGATAAGAGTGGGCGCCACAAAGATAAGAGTGGGCGCCACAAAGATAAGAGTGGGCGCCACAAAGATAAGAGTGGGCGCCATAAAGATAAGAGTGGGCGCCACAAAGAGACAGAAACAAAGTTAAGAAGAACGGAAAGGAAGTCATTTGAAATAAAATGTAAAAAAAACCAAAAACACGTAAAATTGTGGATTTGCTTATACCGTATGGAGTCAACGTAACAAATCTTGTTATTCATTTATTTTTCATATGAATCCTATCCGTTGTATAACTAATATCAGCTGCAGGGCGATTTTAAAAAAAAATTAGTGAAATTTCTTGTCAAGAACCATTTTTTTCGGAGCCAAAACCAATTTGTGGCTGGCTGGTCCAGCCGCACTCAGGTCGTTAAAGAGCTGCGATTTACCGATCACCGTTTCAGACCAAACTTTGGTTAAGATGATAGATTTGTTTATGAAACATTATAACTTGTGCATGCTTATTTCATATTAGATAAAAATCAATTGAAATAAAAAATTGGATAAATAAACCGAAAAAAGTTTTAAGGCTGCTATTGGAAGCCTGTGATTCATGGACATAATAAATTGTGTAATGAATGTTAGGACGATAGTAAATATAATTAGTCAATACAGAAGTGTACATAGATATATATCATGTACTATAAATGTTATTTGTTATTATGTATATAAAGTCTAATTGAAATATAGTGCACAGTTATGTCAGTGACTAATTTTCTCGTCCTTTATGTGGCAGTGACAGATGTATAATAGTAACATCGTTTTAGATAGCTATCCCCTCTGTATTACACACAACATAGTGAATGATTACAATTTAGACGATAGATCGATAGATTGGTTAAGATGCTAGATTGGTATTTATGACAGTTTAGTTTAGATGAAAGATTGATTCATTTAAAGATTAGTTGAATGAAAGATTGGTTCATTTAAAGATTAGTTTAGATGAAAGATTGGTTCATTTAAAGATTAGTTTAATGAAAGATTGGTTCATTTAAAGATTCGTTTAATGAAAGATTGGTTAATTTAAAGATTAGTTTAATGAAAGATTGGTTCATTTAAAGATTAGTTTAATGAAAGATTGGTTCATTTAAAGATTAGTTTAATGAAAGATTGGTTCATTTAAAGATTTGTTTAATGAAAGATTGGTTCATTTAAAGATTAGTTTAATGAAATATTGGTTCATTTAAAGATTAGTTTAGATGAATGATTGATTCATTTAAAGATTAGTTTAAAGAAAGATTGGTTCATTTAAAGATTAGTTTAATGAAAGATTGGTTCATTTAAAGATTAGTTTAATGAAAGATTGGTTCATTTAAAGATTAGTTTAATGAAAGATTGGTTCATTTAAAGATTTTTAAATGAAAGATTGTATGAGCGAGATTTAAGAAATGTGAACTTTTAAAAAAAATTTTTTTATTTAATTTAGACATTTTCATTTATGCTTCAAAATGCTGTCAATGAGGCATCTACAATAGATTTCTAAATTTAAAAGTGTTAAAAGAGGTGTTTATAATATAGATCTAATTCATGAGATGTTTGAGGAATACAATTAAAATTGATATATTTTATTATAGGGGGATGTGGGCCCGCTGCTTCTAATGAGAGAGAAATATTGCTCTATCATTGTGAACTCTCTCACGCTAATGATGCTTGAAGAGGTTTAATATTAGCAAGCGTCAATTTATTTTACTTGATCGAATGTTATTTCTGTTCCAGTGAACATGTATACCTAACTGAAATGTAATTAATATCAACAAATAATTATCCTATTTAATATATTCTCACCTGTCTTCAAATACAGCAAAACTTTCTTGGAGAATGATATAGAAAAGTAAACCAATCGATCTCAAACACCAATCTTTTTAAGCAGCTGACTGGTATCGTTTTAAGTCAAGAATATTTTGAGTTAATGTAATTATGAATAGCCTAATATGCTAATCGTAATCGGTGTGGACGGACCTCATTTATGACCTCACTGGGTAACTCCTGCCATAATGTGTTGGTTTTTCTGTTGTTTAAATGATTGGCGTAGAACATGGCTACAAAGAGATAAGAGTAGTCTTGAAATAAAAATATAACATTTTGTGGATATGTGTTTGGTATTGATTAGCCTCAACAGAGCTTCCTAGAGGATTTTGAATTGCTCGTACAGAACTTAAAATGAGCCCCCACATCTTGGACATGGACACAATACCCTAACCCTAACACTCATCATGAACATGGACACATACATCAATTTTGTCATAATTTATTAATTACAAAAAACTTGTAAATATATTAAAAAGAGGACTGGTACTTCCGTAAAATATGATAAAAACAATAATAAACATGATTATATATACAATAATAAACATGATTATATATACAATAATAAACATGATTATATATACAATAATAAACATGATTATATATACAATAATAAACATGATTATATATACAATAATAAAACAATATACTTATGCAATGATTTCAATATTATATCGATTTCAAGCTCATTAAAGTTATTAGTGTTGAGTTGGGATGACGTTTACAGTCGGCTAAACAAAAGTGCTTCCTAGAAAAATTACTAATCATGTCATCAAAATCAATCGTTTAAGCAAGGTCACACACAATCAATTCTGAGTCTTGCTAAATTTACCAGTCACCATTTTGACCTAGATAAATATTAATGTTGCTGAATAAGAGCTCTGAAGAGGTAAGTGTCAAGATTTGTCAACAGAATACGGAGGAAGTCATGCATTTGTAAAGTAGGCATCCAGCTAGCAATTAAGTAGCTCCAATTATTGCAAGACCAACAGATGTCACAAGTCTTAGCTCCATTAATATAACTTCAAGTATGTCAGCTGGATATTGATCTCCAGGTAAATTATATTTTACTTCCAATTCATCTTAAAGTCATCCCATAATAGTGAGTCTACGAATAACAGAGAGTCCAGTAACAACAGACAGTAAGTCTACCAATAACATTGAGTCCACCAATAACAGTGAATCTACCAATAACAGTGAGTCTACCAATAACAGTGAGTCCACCAATAACAATGAGTCACCAATAACAGACAGTAAGTCAACCAATAACAGTGTGTCTATCAATAACAGTGAGTCCACCAATAACAATGAGTCTACTAATAACAGTGAGTCCACTAATAACAGTGAGTCCACCAATAACAGTGAGTCACCGATAACAATGAGTCCACCAAAAACAGTGAGTTTACCAATAACAGTGAGTCTACCAATAACAATGAGTCTACCAATAACAGTGAATCTACCAATAGCAGTGAGTCTACCAATAACAGTGAGTCTACCAATATGAGTGAGTCAACTAATATCAGTGAGTCCACCAATAACATTGAGTCCACAAATAACAGTGAGTCCAGTAATAACAGTGAGTTTACTATTCGCTCTAAATGACTACTTTATTACAGATCAGGGCGAAACTTGACAGTTGCATCGATACTGCTCCAGAATTCTCACTCTTCAACGGCTCTCCTATGGGTGAATTTGTTGAGGTCAGTGAATCGAATGTGAGGAAAATCGTGGCTAATACCCCAAGAAGTCGTGCTCACTCGACCCTCTTCCAACAAGGCTGTTGTATGAGTTTCTGGATGAAATGGTCCCCATCATCACTTGTATCATAAATATGTCCTTGACAACTGGTATTGCTCCATCAACTTTTAAAGAGGCGATAGTGACGCTACTGTTAAAGAAAGCAAATCTTGACCCAAATATGATGGAAAATTATCTCCCCATCTCAAATCTACCATTTATATCCAAAATCTTAAAAAAAGTCGTTCTCCGCCAACTACTGGATCACCTCATTCAATGTGACTTGTTTGAACCTTTCCAGTCAGCATACAGGGCGCATCACTCTACTGAGACAGCCCTGTTGCGCGTCGTAAACGACCTTCTGTCGTCTTGTGATGAGGGCCAGGTAACCATTTTGTCTTTACTCGTTTTATTGTAAGCTTTCGATACGCTTGACCACGGCATACTGCTCCAGCGTCTGCAAAAAAGTTCGGTCTCACAGATACCGTCTTAAGATGGTTTCACTCGTATATGACAAAATCGGGTCCAGTCAGTTTTTTCAAACGGCTTGACCTCGAAGCAATCTATAATTGAATTCCGGATACCCCAGGGCTCGGTCCTAGGCCCAATGCTTTTCACTTTGTACGTTCAGCCACTGGGTGCAGTGATTAAGCAATTTGACATACTGCATCACATGTTCGCGGACGATACACAATTTCATCAATACGTGATCCCTCCTCAGTTCCCTCAACTTCTTAGTACGACACAGAAGACAGTGAAGTCATTTAAGCACTGGATGACCAGAAACAAGCTCAAATTGAATGATGAAAAGTAGAGACCGACCGAATTTCGGCTTCGGCTTCGGTTTCGGCGCCCAAAGGGGCCATTTATCACTTTCGGCCAAGTTTCGGTTTCGGCCGAAACTGAAAAGTTAACTTTCGGCTTAATTTCGGTTTCGGCCGAAATAGAAAAGTTAACTTTCGGTTTTTATTAGGTTTCGGCAAAATTGACTTAGACTTTCGGCCGGACAGGTTTTCGGTCATTTAATACTCAGTGAAAGCGATATTTAACAACAAACTAAACGACATTTAAGAACAAATTAAGCAATCTTTGAGAACAAACTAAATGATATTTAACAACAAACTAAACGACATTTATGAATAAAACTAAAGGATCTTTAAAACAAACTAAGCGATCTTTAAGAACTATCTAAGCGATCTTTAATAACAAACTAAACGATTTTTAAGACCGATCTAAAATGTCTTTAAGATCAAAACAAATGATCTTTAATAGGAAACTAAATGATTTATAAGAATAAACTAAGCGATCTTTAACAGAAAACTAAATGTTCTTTAGGAACAAACTAAAAGATCTTTAAGAACAAACTAATCGATCTTAAGAAACAAAATCAATTATCTTTAAGAACCAACAAAGCGATCTTTGTGAAAAACTAAGCGATCTTTAACAACAAACTAAGTGATCTTTAACAACAAACTAAGTGATCTTTATGAACAAACTAAACGATCTTTAAAAACAAATTAAGCGATATTTTAGAACCACAATTTTTAGAGACCTGGTTTAAAAATTAATACTTGCATTGATCCCCCCCCCCCCAATTTTTGCCAAATTTTCTCCTACCATACAAATAAAAAAAAATTGTAAAGTAATTTAAATTACTTTTATATTAAAATGGTAAAATCCAAAGTATTCATTAGATCAAGGGTCTGAAACTCAAATCATCAGAGGGGGTGGGGGGCAGGAGCTTATGTCTGAATAAGAGTGGGCCGCATCAAGTAATCCACTAAAAAGCGATTACAACTGTTACAATCTGCTCAACCTTTATAAATAACAATAAAATCATTAAGGGTTCTCAAGAACTAGGATTCACTTTCATCAACCTACTCATTGTTGCATTAAAAAATATATAAGGTGCTGGGTGGCCGAGCGGTCTAAACTGTCTCAAATTAAATAGCCGTTGGTCCGGAGTTCAATCCCCATCAAAGCCATCCCAAGCACCCCGGGTGGATGGGACTCGTTAGCCTTGGACGGCAACCCATCTAAGAGAAGGCTAACTCTGAATTAAAACCAGGAGCCAGAATGATCAACAAATTTATCGTGGGCCCCTCAAATATAAGAATATAAGAAGATATAGAAACATAAAAAAAAAAAAAAATCAGAATGAGACCAGTCGGTGAGATTCGTCACGTTTTAGATATGAAAATGGGGGAAACGGGCCGGCGCATTTACACTAAACTTTTCTGTCGTGTAGCGGGCCGCAAAATATCGTCTTGAGGGTCTCAAAAGGCTCGCGAGCCGCGAGTGTGAGACCCTTATATTAGATGTTTATTTATTAATTTTCACAATTATCTCACTTTTATAAAAAGAATGTAAATATTTATACTTTCCCACATCATTTTCGGTGTCTGCAAAATGTATGCTGGAACGAATTTCAAAATATCTAAATATTTCATTGTCGGTTTCGGTTTCGGTTTTGGCTTCGGTTTTGGCTTCGGTTTCGGCTGAAATTCATTTTTAAACTTTCGGCCTATTTTCGGCTTCGGCAAAATTCAGAAAATCCCTTTCGGTCGGCCTCTAATGAAAAGACTGAGCTGATCCCCATTGCCACTGCTCAGAAACAAAAATCTGTAAAACACACAACATCACTTACTCTCTCAGGTATGCAGATTCAGTTTGCTAATACAGTGAGAGACCTGGGTGTCTATTTAGACAGAACACTTACTATGGAAAAATCACATTAACATGCTTTGCAAGGCAATTTTTCTAGAGCTGCTCAGGATTAGTCATATCAGACCTTTCTTAACGTTAGATGCATCAAAGAGGCTGATGTCTGCATTTGTGTTATCACGCATGGACTACTGCAATGCTCTCATGGTGGGTCTCCCAGCTACTCTCCTGGATAAAATTCAAATAGCACAGAATAATGCGGCTTGCGTTGTTCTTTGCAAACGCAAATTCGACCATGCTAAAACACTTCTAAGGGAGCTGCACTGGCTGCTGGTCCGCGTTAGCATAGAGTACAAAATTGCAACTTTGTGCTACCGCTGCTTACATGACCTGGCGCCATCTTATCTCAAAGCACTCACGACGCCTTATGTACCCACTAGAGAGCGCCGCTCATCCGATAGTGGCAAAATATCGATACAGTGTGTTCGCCTTGAGACTTACGGAAAGGGCACTTTTGCATTTGCCAGCCCAACAATTTGGAACTCACTCCCAGTCGCTCTCAGAAACAACCAGACACTGGAGTCTTTTAAAACCAATTTAAAAACACATCTATTTCGCAAACACCTTCTGGGTAGATGCTATATACCATCTTTTTCAGATAATGTATATTGACTTGTGTTGCTTATGTTTGAAACGGGATGAAAGACTTTGACTGGGTATGCTCGTATGTAGTTTTATATTGTTGCGTCTGTTTTTAAATGTGGTAAATTTTAGATTGTTTTTATTTCTACTTT